AATACCAAGCTTCCAAGAATTCTCTTGCATTTTTGGATTTAGCTTGGTCTAAAATGCTGACAGTTTCCCAGTTAAAAAGACCCAGTAGCACAAGAAAAAACAGGACTCATCTACAACATACAGTGCAAGGACTGTAACAAACACTATGTAGGACAGACAGGCAGAAGGCTAGAAGAGCGCATCCATGAACTAGCAGTCAGAAGACACAATGAAAACTCCTTCATCTCACAACATGTGGACAGACTTAACCATTGTTTTAACTAGGAAACTGTCAGCATTTTAGACCAAGCGAAATCTAAAAACACATACCTCAGACAGTCATCCTGGGTATCAATGTTCAAGTTATGGAAAGGAGCCAACTTAGTGGGAAGCAACTGATAAGGAATCAAGACACCAAGCTCCCTTGCTCCGGAGACATAGTCTGGGTTGGCTCCCTTGAAACATTCTTAGTGCCTTAATAAGAGCCACTCCCAGAGACAGCTGTAAAGCCAGATAGGGCTGATGGGAAGTTCCCCAGCAGATGGTATTTAAGGCACACAATTTGTGATTAAGGCAAAAACACACAGCTCCATACTTGTTGAAGAGGCTAATCAGCCACCTGGAAAGAGGTCTCTTAGCCCAAGGTTCAGCCAGTCAGGGATCCAACACGTAACTCTCTGGCCCTTCTGGGCTCCATTGAGAGACACCAGCAGCAGGGGCTGAATCCAGGAGGCATTCTTGGCTCACCACCAGGCCTTTACCCCAGAAAACAGGAAGCCAGTGCTAGATCCACCCAGGGAGATCTCCACCCAGAAATATTCCTCCCTGCCTCTGGACACTCTCGTCTCATCTAGTGATCCCTGAAGAGAGGACTTGGGAAGTTCTCACCCAAAACACAATTCTGTGTCTTCAGCAAAAGCTGCTACAGCTAATAGACATCAAAAGGAGCTGCCAAGGGATCCAAGACCAGGGAAGGAAACCTGATTGAAAGCCCATCTCCACATCCCAAAGTCGGGGATATGGCCTAAAAGAACAAGTGATTGTTTAAAAAAAAACACAGCATCTATTTGGAGGTTCTTCTTGAGCCTAGAGTCTTCAAAACAATCATTCACAGAAACAGCAATAGAGCTTAAGAATGTAGTTTGGTCCCCTTCTATGTTATATCCTACTTTAATTTGGCATTTATCAGCTGTAGTGTACTTTATTTATCTTGAGCAGATAAAAAGCAACACAGATAATTCCTTTCCTGACCCAAAGATCTCAGCAGTGGATGACTGATTGTGGAAACTGACTGTGGAAGGTTCTGGTGTCTCCTGGTGGGGCTGCTATTTTTATTTTTATTTTTTTGCTAGGAATTGAGAAGAGATTCTGCCACTTAGTGTTGTGAACTTGGGAGATCCATGGCCTAATTCAGTATAAGGCAGATTCCGATGCAAATGTTACTGACACGTCTCTGCATGAGTTCATAAAACTTGGCCTCTCCCTCTAAGCCAGGAAACAAGTAGGATTAACTGAGTTTACAGGAACTATCCTGCTAAAAGGAGAACTGGGAGATCAAGGTCCCAACTATGGTAACAACTTCCTGCCTCTCGGGTTATCTGTTTGCTGGTAACAGCTGAATGCCCTAGACTTCCTCCAGTAAGTTTTGACTGGCCTCTCCTGATAGTTATGGAAGGACATTTAAGTTTCAACCAAAATTTAACCCAAAGGGGATTTTATTCTAGGGCAGAAGAAATCAAAACCTGTGTTGCTTTCCCACAACACGTCTAGAATGTGTGACCATCTTGTAATGCTTGGTATGACAGAAAGTGAATATTAATATATGGAGACCATGTTGTATCCACAACTGCATTTAATTTTAATTAAATATAGGTGTGAATCCATCAGATTTAATGTTTGCCCCTGTCCCCATAACTTTTTGGCATGTGGCCAAGCATGGCCCTCATTCCAGAAAAAATAATTATCCCATCTGTGTGCAGATAAGGGTACTTCCCCCTGCCACCCATATTGTTAAAGGTGGTTTCAAAAAGGATACCTTGTAGGCAAGCAGGTTGTTCCTTATTTCTAAAACTCATACAACATGTTGTAATGGGCAAAGCTACATGCACAATAAACCATACAGAGTCAAGTCTCCCCAGTGGCTTTCAACTTGGTGAAAACTACTCTTGAAACAGACAACAGCATAAGCTACAGAACTAAGAAAAAATGGTCTCCACCTTTGGAGGGCCCTTTGTAAAGGAAAGATCCAAAGGCTTAAGAAACATTCCTTAGAAAGGGTCAAATCCCTGTTAGGCACTTAACATGCACTAAAAGACATTTGGTATAAGGAAGAGTTGAGCTTCTGCAACCAAGAGAACTCTGGCGCCCAGAGCTGACTCAAATCTTTTCTTTTTATTTTTGGGAATAACGCTTTACCTGTTCCATCAGGAATGGACCTCACAAAGGTTGGCAGCATCTTCACCGAAGCTGTAGGGTTGGTGTCTGCCCTCAGGCCCTTCTCCATGTCCTTCCGGAACCGATCTGAAATGTCACGGAGGGTCTCATCCGAAAGCCGCATGTGATAAAGGTACTTGTCAATCTGGCAACAGGAGAAAAACGAATGAGTCCACTTTCAAAAGCAGCGGGCGCTGCAAGAGCTAATATGTACAGCAACCCAAACCCAGCAGCATCTCAGAATCTGAACCACGGACCTCACGGTGGAAGGAAAAGGGGTGAGTGAAATGTTTGATCCTGTATGGACCAATGAGATGCCTGCTGCATCCACGTGGGAAAACGGATCAAGGAATTTTAAAATACTGGCAGAATTTAAGATATGGGCAGAAGGTGGTAGACAGCACGTGGCCTGTTGTCAGAAAGGAGTATTTACCAAAAGCCAAAAGTGGCAGGACTCTCTTCGCTTTGTCACGGGGACCTGGGAATTGGGTACGTCAGAAACATGACAGAGAGGCACGGAAAGGTATAACGAACTGTATTACTGTATGTTCGATTTAGCTATATTTCCTCTTCTATCTCATGCCTTTCATTTCTTTAGTTTCCTATTGCTTAATCCTTTCTGTGCTTTGCACAATCTTGCTCACCCCCAAAAGGATAATTTGGTGGAACTGTACGTGTGTATGAACCCCAGTTAAAAGGCGAAGATGCCCAGTGAAGCAGGATGTGGTGCATTACAGAAATGGCTCGCCGCTGCCTTCGCCCATGAGGTTGTTTTGATTCCTCAGGTAGCCCTTGGACGTTACTGGTGGTCAAGCCCTGACTGGGCCCAACCCCGCCTGGCTTCCAAGCTGAAGTGAATCAGCCGGCTGATGCCACCCATTTAAAACTGCCAGTTGTTCCCTAACCAACTGGGTGAAAGCTCCTTGCCTTCATTACATTAGTCTCCTGATGGCCAAGGAAGGAGGACTGCTGGCCCCCAACTCCGCAGCAAACAGCGCAAACCAAGGGGCGGAGAAAACCTCCTGCCTTCCAATTAGCCGAACCCTTTAAAATAGTTGATTGTTCGGCACCACGTGACTAGTTGAACAAGTCTGACTGAAGGTCAATATAAAGCTCAGGTGTTGAATGGAGGCCACCAGAAGAATAGAACTGTGTATTAGGACAATGAGAAGACACAGGATTGGCTTGCTACGTGCAAATTTTGGCATTTCCAGACAGGACTAGGAAAATTCTGGCTCCGAAACCCAGGAGAGCTGTGACCAGCTGGTAGAGAGCAGCCGTGCCCCAGCTGGGGTGGGCCGGTGCAGGGCTCTTCTTCCTGAGGCTGGCTTGCTCGCGCTCTGTTTATCTGCCTGGGGGAACCTACAGCCCGCCCGCCCCAGCTCTCATCGACCTAACCAATACGCAGGAGTGACGGGAGATGGCATCCAACTGCTGGTGGACCCCACATTCCCCACCCTGGGCGCATTAGGGAATGTTCAGAAAGAACACAGAACAGGAATTGTTGCCTATTTCACACGGAATTAGAAAGGCTTACAAAATAAAATGCAGAGAAATGACAAAACTCGGCAACTTAAAGTCGATAGGAAATTGAGATAAAGATGAATTGACTCGCGCAAAGCTGTGGCCAGAGTGAAATATGAATTAATAGTGCCCTCTCAGCCCTCGACAGGCTGGCATTCTCCAATGTGGTGAACTGGCAGCACCTCAGCCCTGCCCAGCCTGGTCCCACTGGCTGGAGAGGAGCAGCCCAGGAATGGAGCCCGCGTGGAGGGCACCCGGTTAGGGGACAGCGGCCTTCATGGCGGCCACCCAAGTGGGGGTGTTTCAAGGGCAGGGCAGGGGCACCCCAGGCCAGGCAGCTGCAGGCCCAAGGGGGGCTTTCATTTGGTGACTGCGGTCGCAGCCCAGGTTGCCTCATTACGACCCTCAGAGGGACTGCCAGCGAATGTCATGCAGGAACTGCTTGCTTAATCACCCAGCTCTCGCTAAATTAAAATGCAGTTGAGGGGAAGGGAAGATCTCTGAAGGGAGCCAGGCCAGCAAGGCACGTCTGACTTAATCCCGCTCATCTCCTCACTGCCGGTGCTCCTGTCTGTTGGTGGAGAAGCGGCTTCTGCTTGCCAGAATTTCCTTTCGGTTCCAGAACTGAGCTTATTAACCACTTGGCAAATGTTTCTTAAATCTTATGCCACTCGATGCTGCAGAACCGGTATTTCAAAGAAGACATAGCGGCTGAAGCAGAACAGGACAATGGCACCAAATTACGCTTCTCGGGGCAAGAGGCCGGAAGAGGAACCAGGGTTAAAAGTTTGTAACAGAGAAATACAGAAATACTTTTTATTTCCCAGCTACCCAAGCAATGCTTGAAAAAGGCCACATCTGAAAGTCTCCAGAGGCAAAACAGCACGCGCACCAGTTGCTCACAGCCACCCTGCCTTTCCAGCAAAAGAGAGACTTTTGATTAATGGGACGCCTTTCCCGCCCAGCTACCGGTATGCGCAGGCAAGCCCCATGTTTGCCCGCTCATGTAAACAGAGGCAGGGCTGAGAAACTAGAGAGGACACGTAAGGAGTCCTTTAGGAATGCGCTGGAGCAGGAGGTCCAGCCCCCTCTTGCTCGGGAAGGAAAGGGGGGAGCCTTGGGGGGGAGCCACAGCAGCCCAGCTTTGGCCAGTGTGGGGCACCTAAGGCCAGCTGTGCCAGTGCCAACAGTGGCAAGAAGATCCAGAGCTGCCTTTTGGGAAGTCAGGCCCTTCGTCCATCCAGCTCAGAGAACCCAGCTCTGACTGGCAGCCACCTCCAGTGGCTCTGCAATCGCCTGGCCAGCTCTGTGGCAGGAATGGGGCAGTGGGCAGCCAAAGAGCTGGCCTGCCGGGTGCCAGGCTCCAGGCCACAGCCAAGGATCCCTCAGGCTGGGACACCAACTTCTCCCAAACTCCTGGACACCCTCTGATTAGCTTCCAGTTGCCACCAGGGTAGAATTAAAACAATAAAATTTAATGGGAAGGGGAAGGTAGCAGAAAGCCACAGGGAGGATCTGCTTTCATAATCAGCCAAAAACAGGAAGCTGGCAATCTTTTAAAGCCACAGATACTCCCAAGAAAGAAAAAGTTGTTTTTTTAGTTCTTTGATTTTTCCAGCTATTGATTTAATCTAGTGCTGGACAGAGAAATTCTCAAGGTTATATTTTTTTTACCAGTTATCTTTCCCCTGGATGAAATATAACTTGATTTTGACATTTATTTTGAAGGGGAACTGTGGTGCTCTCACTTGGTTGCAAGCTGGCCAAGGGGTGTGTGTTTCGTGGCATTTACTACGAAACCCCAGGCATCCAGGGATGCATAGCCTCCTTGACTCCCCACACTTTCATTAACTCCCACAAGGCATTTTCAAGAGAAAGTTCCTCCCTTGAGGCTTTATTTAGCCTCTGCCTTGGTAAAAGGACTCCTCCTTCTACGAAACTGGGTGAAGTCATTCCCCCAATTTCCGTTTCAAAGAATGCCGGACAGCCGTTTCTGGCAGTTCTAATTTAAACTTAACTTTCTTCCAGTCTTTTTTCCATGACCGTGTTGCCTGATGGAGATTCTAGGAACTTAAATGTTTGCAACAACTTTGTAAAACTTCAGTTGGCCAAATAAAGTGATGGTCCTAATGGATTTACATTGTGCCTTAAGTCACTATTTTAGTCCACCTATCCCTGTTTCTAGCAAGTTTGCAACCTGCAATCCCTTCACTTCCTCCCATGTTGCAGCACTATTGCATCCTCCTCGCTCGTGATATCTGCAGTCAACCAGGAAGCTCTGAGACTTTTTAAATTGCTTCCTTTCACCAGAAAGAACTAGGTGGAACCTTATTTGCTTTCACAACTATGTGGCTGCCAGCCCACGAAGAGGAGAGGGATGTGTCGTTCCTCGAAATCCTCCTCCCCTTGTCAGCAGGCCAGCAAGAATGGGGAACCCACATTTCTTTAGAAAGGGAGCAAAGCCTGCCAGACATTTAATCTTTTTCCACTTGGAAATGTGCACTCATGTCGTCATTTGCTGGCACTGAGGTTCAGGAAATCAAGCTCTCATAAAATGCACAGAACACATGAGGGAGAATCAATATTCTGTTCTTGCCCTGGAACTGCATAGCTATTTAAAATATTTCTAGGCCAAATTTCAGGAGTAGGCACATTGTGCCTCTGAGTCAGCCTTGACTCTGGCAACCGCCTGACAAGTCCCTACAGTTTTCTTGGCAGAATTTTCAGAAGGTTTGCCCTTTCCACCTCCTTCCTGGGGCTGAGAGGGAGGGACTGGCCCAAGGTCCCCCAGCCGGCTCCATGCCTAAGTCAGGACTAGAACTCAGGGTCTCCTGGCTTCTGGTGCAGTGCCTTTAACTGCCACACCAAACTGGTCTAGAAGTCTACATAGAAGTAACAAAACATTAATAATACCACCATTAAAGCCAGGATGGTTCAAAACATTAAGCCCCCACTACCAATTGGGTGCAGTCACAGGAAAGTTTAGGAAAGAACTTTAGGACTTCCTTAAAAGCTGCAGAATTGCTCTGCTGTCAGGTTTGCCCCGCTCTCTGGAATTATCTCCAAAAGCCCACTTATAAGAAAAGTTAACTTCAAGATCAGCGGAAATGCTCCTTCCGAGCAAAACGTTTGTCCCTTGTCTGCAGCCAGGGGACCTAGAAAGACTGACTCCACTGGCTTCCAGCAGCCAAAAGAAGCTACAGTTGGGGAACTCATGGACATTTGCACGTACTCCCCTCTCTCACACACGTGCCCGTGGTAGCCCAGGGGCAGCACCCAACCTTTCCACGCAGAAGCTCCAGATCAAACCCTACATATCCAGACAGTCTGAACCAAGCGCATCAGAGCCAGCAACCACGACCTGGGCAGCCTGGAGCATACTCTGCTAAACCATGGAGCAGCTGATGGGTTTCTTGCATGGTGGGATGTGTGAATGAGGCTCACAAGAACAAATAAAGTTGAAAAAAAACTGGTTCAGTGTCATGCACGTATCAGTCAGCATTTGGCAACTTCTGTGCACCATATTTCCTAACTGCAGCCGTATGTAAAAATAAATTAGTTCTCAAAATTGTGGCCCCATTAACATGAGGCTGCCTGCCTGCGGTCCTTATAAAGGGCAGTTTGGGCAAGTAATGCTTCATTGAATCTACTTGGTGAATCTGTTCCTGAGACAGCCACCAACATCTCC